GGTGGGGGCGGGGGCGGGTGGACCCGTCGAGGCGGAAGCGGCGGCGTGATGGACTGTGAGCACAGAGGGCTATTGGGGGAGGTCGTTAGCGCGAGAGGCGAAAAGGGTATACTGAGAAAGGCTACTTTTTTTACGTCGTACGTCATGAAGACAGAGACTACTACATATAAAAGTTGTCGTTTAAGTTATAACGACAACATTCTTAATGCACGTTTCACTGTGAATTAATTTTTAGTGCTTTAAGAGTTGTTTTTATTAAGAGAAGTTGCCTTAAGGGACTCGGCCATTCGTGGACAAACCATCTTTCTTAAGCTTGAGATAAGCACGATTTGTACGTTAGGGGTTTGCGTTTATCCTTTTGATTGGATCAAGTTTTCTCTACAGCGAATAGGGGTGATCTGAATCAAATAATGACATTCACGATGCTTACAATTAAACTTGAGAAGATATGAATAAACGATCAACCATCCAATAATTTTTTATCATCCTTGGGTGCGTCTAACATAATTGAAACATTAGCATCCACGTATTAATTAAAAAAAAATAAATACGATCAAGTAAATAATAAAAAACAATAAGTTTATCAATGATTCAGATATAGCCCTATGTACAGGCGTTTTCCTTGAGATGTGATACTTTAAAACAAAAAGAATGACTATAGTCCTAAAAACAGAGGTAATGTGTCTAATGTTTAATGGAAATGAAAAGTAAAAATCAATGATTTCCTTTAAAATAAGTTAAATTCTTTTCAGCGTGCATTAGCCCTACACCTTTTACAAATAGAAAATACAGAGCAGGGAAAATTATAGTAAGTCGTTATTTAATAATAACAAAAATGGACTTGCGTCTGTTTATCTCTCACGGCGAAGGTTTATTACAATTCTGTCTTTCCTGGATTTATTTTCACAAATATCGCGCCCAACATTAACATTCTTAGAAACAAAACTCGACACAGCTTCGACTTCGTAAAAGAACGGCCCTCCTCTGAAGTGTAAACACTGCGACCGGTGTTGGGCGCGCGAGAGCGACTCTCGCCCGTAATGTTTCGCACTAATTAAAGTCCCCGGCCGGCGCTCCGCGGGCCCGAGCGCTCACCTCGGTGAACTCCACGTTGCCCGGGTCGCCGGTCACGCTGCCGTCGGGGTTCCGGTAGCCGGCGAACGAGATGAGCTGGTTATTCCACACGCGAAAGTCGTGCTTCCCGTCCGTGCGCTGCGGAAACACCGTGATGGCTGACCTGCGAATGGAGAAAGTTACATGTGGTAAATGATAAGAGGATGACATATTAACGGCACTAAATCTTCTATCACTCCACATAATGGTATTTATTAATAATATAATGGTATTCGTAATAAAAAGAATTGCAGGTTAGTAATCTGGAACAATTTATCAGAAATAGTTACAAGCTAATATATACCATATTATTTTTGCTGAGAGGTCCAATACAATTATTTCTGTTATTAAAGAATTATGTCTGGGTAAAATGAGAATGAAAAAATAGAAAGGGAATGAGTTAATTGAAATATTGCACAAAGGTAAAGAGAATGGCTTTGTCACGCTTAAACAGCTTGGCGGGAATTCTATTCTTATTTGAAGGAATTTTGCAAAATATTCAGGATGTACTTTCATTTATGTTGAATTCGTGTAAAAAAATGTTTCGTATCCAATAAATTACATTTTTACTTGAAAACCGCAAAAATAGGGTATACTGTTCTACAGAATATTTTCGATAGAATGCATTTATTATTCTAAGTTCAAGTGGACATCAATATTACATTACATAATACATTATGTTGTTAGATTGTATCTTTCGTAAATACATAGCTGAACTTACTTCTTTGGAATGTCGTATTGTTTAATTATTATAGTTAGAATGACGTACATTCCCCCGTTAGTTATTCATATTTGCACATATTATTCGGATCTTTTCATGCCATTATAATTAACATTACAATTTAATGAAAATATTAGTAGAAATTTCTTATTGAGAACGTTGTCATCTGATATTATTATCTCTCAAAAGTTTCATTATTTCTAAGTAAGTTATATGTAGTGATAACACAAACCTTTGGTGTATTTGGAACATTCTTTGATTTTCGGAACCAATGATAAGTTAATTTAATATTAACTCATGGAATTTTCTGAATTTCATTATTTAAATATCATTTTTACAATGTATCATTCGATGAAGCGATGTGATTTTAAAGAAACTTTTAGCTATCACTTTACGAAATAACAACTTCAGGAATTAAATATACTATTTCTGAATTTACTAATTGAACAATAATCTATAAAAACTACAAACACTTTAATTTCTAATTTCCTCTTAAATTCAGTTCTCCAAATTTCACCCTCGCCTACTCTCGAAGATCACTAATTCACACAGTCCCCTCAAACTCAACAAGCTGGGCATTGATCGCAGTCCGCAGAGGCCGCCGGTCCGAAGGCTATGCGAGCAGCCTCAGCCGGGGGTGAGCGGGTCGAGAAATGTCGGACCGCAAGTTTACGAGAGAAGATCCGCGAGCGAAAGCCGATGGGCTGACGGCATCGGTGGCGGTAAAAGCGGAGGGAGATGAGAGTCCAGCAAGACAAACGGGAATAGAGAAGTCTGTTCAGCACCCAGGTGATAAACTAGGAGATTGGCAGTGCCATCCGGTACAGTCAGTACAGAAAACCAGTAAAGTGATGAAGACTGCATACTAGAAAGAACTGCGTGTTAAAAAGGATTATATAGAGTCTGAAAATGTAAATGGTTAGGGTGAACGAGATGATTAAGACACGTGTCTAGACGAAATAAATGAAGTATTGCGGAGGGCATAAATGACTGATACGTCGGAAGTGGAGGGGATGATAGACGTAGTGAATGTTTCGGAGCTGGCGAGAGCAACGGAAGGCGAAAACGTTGGCGGCGAGAACGTCGGAGGCGGCGAGAGCGACGGGGGCACCGACAGCGACGGAGAAGGCGAGAACGTCGGGTGCTGCGAGAGTGTCGGGGGCGGCGAGAACGTAGGAGGCGGCGAGAACGACGGGGCGGCGAAAGCGACGGGGGAGGCGAGAGCGATGGGGAGGCGAGAAGCGATGGGGGCGCGAGAGCGAGGAGGGTGCTAGAGCGACTGGGGAGGACGAGAGCGGACTGCAAGGCGAGAGCACGGGCAAGGCGGAGCAACACGGGTGGCGAGAGCGACGGGGATTGGGCACGTGATGGACAGCATATTGGTGACTGGAAGACATATGTGACGGAACGGCGTATGCTACGGGGCGCCGAGAGCGACGGGGCGGCGATGAGCGACGGGGGCGGCTGAGAGCGATGGGAGAAGCAGCGGAGCGTCGGGTGGGTGCGTTGGTGTGGGGGTGGGGGGGCAACACTTACTGCGCGCGCGAGAGCGATGAACAAGGACGGCAAGCGGCTGGTGCGGGGGCGGTCCGGCTCGCCGGAGGCTACGAGGCTGTACAAGCGCATAGCGCGGCTTCCACGACAAGGCCAAATCCGCGAGTTCGCGGAGCCCCGCGCTGTGGTTATCGGGAATTGACGACGCAATAACGGCGCTCTCTCTGGCGTCGGTGGGCGACCGCCCGAGGGCTGCGGCGGACAGCTGCCGTCCCCGCGGACTTCTCTGACAGCTGTGGACGCGGCGCGTGCGTATTACGCGACCCGGCCGCGAGGGCCCATGCAGGGCACCACTGCGTCACGGGAAACATACATTGCGGCTCACTGCAGCCGACTGCGCCTAGCTTACCCTCGCCCAGCGAGGAGGTTTATGTTCTTAGGCGACTGACGCGCGTACTTCATGCTTTCTCAATCAGGCAGATGACAGTTGGAAAGTCTCTGATTATGTCTAAGCGTGTTTTGTTTCAGCTATCTGTATCTAACAGACGTCACAAAATATTTATAAAAGAATAAAGGTTTATAAGGGTAAAAAGTGTAGATGTAATGAGTTATTGTGTTACAATGTGGAAGAGAAGGAGCGATAAAATGTGGCAAAATGTCTGGAGAAGACAGATATTGAAGAATGTTTGAAAAGTAGTTCCAATAGTTTTACAGTTTTCTTGAAAGAATTGGACAATTTATCATTGTAGGCTGCTAGATAAAATAACAAATCATATCTCAAAAAATAAAAAGATAGTGATAACGAGTAACGTAAGTGGAAGTTAAAAGCATTTTAGTATTTATCACTTGCATATTCACTTAATTTGCGCTTATTATTCCAATCTTGAATTTATACAATTATTTAATTATCTTTCTACAAATTAAAAATAATATTTTCTTAGTCTGATTGCATAAACAATTTTAAATTTACATTCTTCTGAACATATCTGTCCTTTTTGAAAGCTCGGAGTACATAGATTTAATTAATATCTAATATTTGTATTCGAGTGTAATTTAATAAATGGATTAATAGTACTATTTCCATTAATAAATTGTAGAGGGTATGAAATTATGAGATGACTGACAACGTAAATCGTTAAAGAAAACCTTACAGGTATTATTAGTATATGTCGCAGTATCTATGAACACTGAGTAGTGTCTTCTTTCCAAGAAAATATATGATTGATATTTCAGTTGCTTCTCAATGTCTATGACCTTCAGACTACACCCTGACATTATGTGTCCTGACATTGTCCGTCCCAACTTCATACGAATGTAATTTATATTAGAATACCACATCTTCGGTATGGTCCAGAAATAAATTTAATTTTTCTATTTATGCCATTCAAATTATATGCTTAGATAATTTGATCTAAATGTTGCTTGAACTGATCACTTTTGAAAAATTCTAATGGTTTTCCAAACGGAATGTTTCTGTTAAAATTGGGTTAGGGTGTTTATGTAATTTTAGGAGACATTCATCATTCACTCACCGAGCGAAGTGGCTGAGGGCGTAGAGCGCTGACTTCGCGTTCGGGAGGTTCGGATTCAATCCCCGGACCGAGCATTCTGAATGGGGTTTTCGTAGTTTCCCTCGGCCACCCAGGCAAATGCTGGGATGGTTCTTCTGAAAGGCCGCGACCGCGAAACCGGCATCGCTAGTTGAAGCCGTTAACTACGTGATGTCAAGAAGGTTAAGCGAATTCGTGACATCGCGGTTGGGCGGCCAACTAGAAGCCCCGGGATCTAATGGTGTCGAGGCCATTTTCCCCTTACGGGGGCACATAATGGATACACTACAAATCACTCACTCATTAGCTTCCAGCTAATTAGACTTAATTAGCTTCTACCCAATGAAACTGTCAATTAAAGCGAAAGTGGTAAGTGAAAGCACAAGCGAGACCTATCACTTTACTCGCTCCTCGTGGAGGTATACAGTGCATCTTCCCTGCTGGACATGTGTTGCGGTGCGAGCGGCGTGCAACGCAGGTGGGGCGCAGCTGGAGCAGAGGCAAAGTCAGGTCGAAGGCGCGGGCGCAGACGACTCCCCGCCGCAGAGGGCGCCCCTCATCGGTTTCCGAGTGCGCGGCCGCGGAAGCGAATTATCGGTTTCCCTCACGTCGCAGCGTGCGTCACCCGCGTTCCTCCCTTCCCTCGGGCGCGGCTGCCGACTCTAAAGCCGCTCCCTGTCCTCATCTGCAGCTCGGCCAAGACCATGACTGTCGGCGGCGCTCTTTTTTACATCGCTTACATACTTGCTATCGCACGCTCTCTCTCTTGTTTTTCACCTCTCTCAGGAACACCTGTAGTTGTATCCAGTTTCTTATTGTTGACCTGTATCGTTTGTTACTACACACTGTTTTCCTACATTGATTCCTGTCGTCTCAAGTCCTTAAACGTCCTATGCAGGCACCGACTGTTGATCCCTGACTCTTAGGAAAGAGATTTTTGCACATCGTGAGGCATTTTATCGTTTAAGCAACTGGCCCACTTTTGAGCCTCTGATTGGATTGAGCGATTCGTGTATGAGTGCGCGCATGCGTACAGATTAAAATGGTATGCGCTAAAGTACAAAAACTCGCTATTTTCTCATACTGTCGTCCTATACCGATCCCTGTCAACTGTAGCATTCACGCCCTCGAATATTCTCCTCCTCTCGTGAACATCTCTGATTGTACCTGGTTCTCCTCTGCCTACCTCTGATAGTCCTTGTCATACAGTGTCTTTCTGTCGGACCCTACTGTGACGGCCCACGTTCGTTCGCGAGCGCCCCTCATTGTCCCCCGTACTCTCCCTGTCGCTATTTATTGCACACCATATGCTCTTCACACACAATATTTACAAAATTCCTGTCAGACATCTGTCACCAGATCGTTGTCCTCTCTTCACCCCGGATACCTCCACTCATACTCGCTTTCGCCACTCATACGCCGAGTACTTTTTTCCTTTCCCTCTCGAGACATTCCTCGTACCATCCACATTCCATTCACTTCGCCAGTTACACTAGTTAACTACCTGATGTTCCCCGGGTATTTATTTTCCGGTCAGATCCCATAGAAATCCCCCTAGAACAACGCCACTGCCCGGATACAATGTCTTGCATTGTAGGTTTCTACTAACATTAATTTGGATTAAAAATTATCATATTTCTGCGAGAAAGTTCGAGAGATTTATCATTATTTGTTTTAATTAATTGTATAAATATTTTTTTCTTATCTTGAGAAATTTTGATAGGAAAAAGTTGTTTTCAAATAGCATTTCAATACTGGAAAGTTTATTGAAAACTATTTAACAAACATCCGCTGACGATCCTTACAAAATTGAAAGAAAAGAGATATAGTTTATTTGTAGAAGCTTACATCTTAATTATATGAAATTATTCAAAATTGTACAAGTCGCCTTAAACAGAAATCCGATACGAGCAGAGACATCCCCGTCCTAAATGGTGCATTTGTGTTCATGAGAAGGAGCAATGTGACAAACTGTGGTAATGCGGAGTCTCTTTGCGTGGTGCATCTCTGCGCACTCTCCAGTTAGTCGCTATTTAACTGCGAGCTCAGAAATTCTGTAGCACATCGTACAAAGCAGTTGCCTTCGTATACATAGTTCTCCTCTTTCTCCCTGGCACATACAACCACAGTTTAACTTCTGCTGAAGAACAGTCCCAATTTCCCGCCTCAGCGATTCTTTAGATACCCAGCAGCGTAGCCTTCAAGGGCATTATATAGGAGAAGTGTTAGCTCATGTACTCTATTCAGAGATAATACACTCATTTCTTCCGTAGGAGGGAGATATGTTGTTGAAGAATAAGGAATGCTTGAAGAAAAGCAAAGGAACCATTTATTTAGATATTCATGTTTTGGGAAAACATATACAAGTAAATTTTATACGTTAATAGCAAGTTCCGGCTGTAACTGTAAGAGCGAAAGACGTTCTATATTACGAGTAACACCTGAGAATATGAAAAGAACCCTGTAGTATTTGTAACTGGAGGCTCTTCTCGACGATAGAAGGTACATAAAATATAGTATCAATAACAAGAAAAAAGAAATAATGTAAATAAAAAAAGTTATGTATAAAATACAATAAAAATATTCAGAAAGAATTACACTATCTTGAGTTACGATGCAAGTATTATAACATGTACAACTTTTCTTCATAAAAGCACATCCATAACCATTATTGTCATGTATTCATTTAGTGAGTCCCCGAGACCAAAAAACTAGATAATTCATGCTCCAATATGTAGAAAGTAACTTTCTGTAATACGTTCTGTAGTCATAATTCACGTTTTGTGCATACCTTGGAACACAAAAAATAGTTTTCGGTAAAACACTTGCCGGTCCGTCCATCTCTCCTTCTGCCTGGACAACGCTAACAGACAAATTCTAGATACAGTTTTGCATCCGACTCTCCGTCTGCCCATGAAAAAACTAGTGGCTAAACCGTAGACAGGACTTTCGCCAAAATTGATATTCCCCGGTCGATCTGACTGATGTCTCAGCCCTGAAAAACTGAAAATATTTTAATTTTTTTTCAAAAATGACTCTGAATGTTTTCTTTAATGCTTGTTTTAGATATATCAATCGGAGTGGGTTCGATTTTTTTGAATTCTCTAAATTTTTGAAAATTGCAAAAGGTATAAATAGCGCAAGAAAGTACACGCTGTTGTAGCACCTGTAGTTGACCACGTAATTCCTAAGATTCATCGAGGAGCAGAACGTACTTATGCACGCGTCTGTTCCAACATCTGCAATGGCCAGCGCAGGCAATGGGAGTTTACGCAACAACAACAACAACAACAAACAAGTAGGAGTATAGAAGCTGCGTCTGACAATACACAAAACAAGTAAGCGCCTGTCAACATCGCTGATGAAATCTGCCGTCCACCGTCGAGACCTACTTATCGAAGGTACATGTTATGTAGTTAGGAAATTCTGGTTTTAGTAAAGACATAACATCAACTCGGATACACGGTACATATACAGTGTGTAAAGACCCTGGCTGAAGCCACGATAAATGGGGTGAACGTTAAATTCGATTATTAAAAAAGTAGAAACTGAATAGCAGTGTGTAGGAAAGTAGAACTAAGAACAACCCTATCGAAATTGCGAAATCATCACGAGTGTGCACAGAGGGACAACTGCAGGCGTCACGAAAATTCCGGCGCAAAAACCTACGAACGTATGGTGGGATGAAGGGAGAGCCAGAAAGAGAGGGTGTATAGGTTTGGGTGCAACAACAAGGAATGAGCCATATGGAGGAGGAGAGCGACGTGATCTTGGTAATGGGTTCACTACATTACCCAGCGAGGGAGAAGGGCGGAGGAGGAAGCCCGGAGCGAGAGCGGAGGTGAGCGATGGAGGCGGGCGGTAGCCGTGCAGTGTAGAGACCGTGGGGGAGGAGCGGGGGGGGGCAGGAGAGCGAGGATCCCTTCTTCGGGCACAATGGGCACTTAGGGCGAATGACAGCATGTGTCTTTCAATGGAGAGCCTGTAGAAAACTGCGGATTCCCTTATGATGTTTCTGGCAGAACTCCTTCATTGTCCACTCGACGGGCGGGGAGACAATGGCCGCGTCGCGCCCAGACGGCAGTTACCCGTAGTGTGCTTCGTGAGCCTGCTAAGATGCAGGACATGCAATACGGCGGTTCTTTGCAGAGAGCAGTACATTTACATGTAAGACAGTGGACGGCTACAATGGAAGATGAATATTAACGTTCAAGAAGGTACAGGAAAGTATTCTTGCAATTTAGTAAAACAAATATTTTTCATATGTCAAGTACTCTATTAAGTGGTCTTCCCTCTTATCATTTAAGATGATAACCACAATTCATTTGTACTTCAATGAGTGTCATTTCTTTAAATGCAATCAAAATAAATGTATTACCTGTTGCGTAGTTTCGAATAGAAACACACGAGAACATACACTTTTCAAATGAAAAGAAGGAGCACTTACCGAATGTTTCCTTTGTTGGTGCTGTACTTTATGTGATTGCACAGAGCTTCAAACATGCCACTGGTTGTGGTCACGTAGCGGCAGTCGAACACCTGCAACCAAAAAAAGAGAAGGAAGCTGTTAGTTCGTAGTAGAGTAGAACACCTTTCTAAGAGTAAATGATCCTGAACGTCTCAGGGAAACTCCGAAGCAACGAGATCCGAGTGAAATGTAAATCATATCATTACACTTATACGTGCACCTCGGTACAATGATTTTAAGCCTACTTATTAGTACACATTTTTATAAGACTTGCATAGTTCGAGTTAGAAATTTCAGATTATTCAATCCGTACTTGTCTTTAATCTAAATCCATTATAAATAAAAAAATATTTATTTAGATTTAAGAGCCCTTACATTTCTGAGGTCATTGAAGCCAATGAACGATCTTCTAATATGTAGTTGATAGCGTGAATGATGAATCTTTGGGGGAATATGAGAGGCAGAGTAAATAGATGCACCCTTAGAGAACCTGTCAGGAGCTCGCTTTGCCCAGCGAAAATTTCATGTACGGAAAAAACCTGACCTCCAGCGGTGGAAAGAGTTTGCGCTAGTTATTACGACGCAAACCCCTTCACACTTTTTTTTTATAAAACTTGAATTCTGTATTACTATTCTAACGATACATCAACCCTCTTCGTAAAGACGAAATTATCTCCGCACCTGATGGTAAGAGAATTTGCAAGTAATTTGATACGATAAAACTTTGAAAGTAAACGTTAAACTAATAGTTAAGTAACGCCATAACATGAACTGAGATATTGTGAGCTGGTGCTCAGTTTCAGAGTACTTACTTTCATGAAACAATCTTCATTCATGGGAGGATCAGGAAGGAACTTTACAAAATATTTCACAGTTTCATACAAGTTTTGAAGATACTGGAAATACAACTTAGTTCGTGTATGCATTGCAATTACTAAAGAACAATTTTAATGGATTCCAAAAAAAATATCTGAAACATTTATAGAACAAAGACAAAATATACGTGACTATCTGGAAATCTATACACAGTGCGGCAGAATTTAGATATTAATTGTAATCGTAGATATTTTATGAAAATAATAATTCGCAATGAATCCTACCAAACAAAGAATTTTTAAGCAATATTTTCTCGAGGCGAGACACAATGAAACTTTTATTTCAACAATGTGTTTCGGTATTTTCTTGATAAAAGACCCTTGAACTTCAAAATGACTACAAAAAAGGATTGAATAGAATACGTAATCGATTTTTAATGAAATTCGATGCTTTTCATCACACCACTGCATTGTTATCAGCATTATTGGGTTCAGATAAATCAGACCTTCACCAACTATTTCTTAGTATTCTTGAGAACCTCGAGAACCACAATGCAAACATGAGTACGGTGTTGACATAAAAGTTAGGACTACATTCATAAGCAGACTCAATGCGTTCGCATGAGCATAACACGTAAGACGTTAACTTAAAAGCTTGCAAAGTTCAAGTTTCTGTGCTTGCGCGTACGTACGACATAAGAAATGAACAAATCACAGTACGTTATCTCAAAATTGAGTATCGAAATAGGATCGAAGTCGATAGACGAACTAACGCCATGTACCATGAGCCATGGACACAGTCGATACCTCGAAATCGATTCTTACATTCAACCAATAGTAAACTAGAATGCCTCACAGTCAATAACAAGTCTTATTTTGCTCGCGTTTATGTTAGTCATTGTGAATACTTCAGTTTATCACTCATGTTAATGTTTAAGTCTATGCTTATGTTTGCTATTGTTTGTGTGGATAGTGGATGTCGGCTCCTCAGATGGCTCAGAGTTGGAGACGCAGAAAGTAGCCAAGGGATGGGTCATACGCCTTATTATAGCATAATTTTGCACACATACAATTAAAATCTCAAAGTGGAAGTACCGTCTGAAAATCGTCCATGAATCCATCTTACCATCACAAATTCCATAGAAAATATGAAACACGATTCGAAACACTCCAGAAACGTAAAAGAACTTTGTTTTACCCGCCATGAAACAATGGTGGTTTTGCATTGTTCGTAGAAGTTCTAATTTGGATGTAAAATATTAATAAGAAAAAATACGCAATTCCATTCTACTGATGCAATATTTTAAATTTACTGCATCGATCACCTGAAACAATACCGTCTTTAATATCTCAGCCAATTTATGTGCACATTTGATGCTGTTAGGTAAGTAGCTGGAGAATGACTTAAGTCCCTCCAAAAATTGCAATGCTGAATTGCAGCATTCCTTTGTGCTTTGTGCTGTTCTTAAATTTGAGTATAGAATTTTCACATTTCGAAAAATAATGCACGTAAATAACATTACGGTCATTTACATTTGTTGTAATGAAAATATGAAAAA